CCCCTCAGAGGCCCTGGTGAGCTGGGCGTCCTGGGGACTGCAGGTGAAGAAAGCCCTGAACCCTTGAACCCTGGGGGGTGGGAAGAGCCACATTCTTGCTGAGGAGGAATGTCTTTGATCCTGAGGCCTCACCCAGGGCGCCAACTTCTGTCCAGGAAACTCCCCCTCACAGGTACATTCTCCTCGTATCCTTGAGGAAGGACCACAGGTACGGGCAAGGCCCTGGGAAGAGGCCGCCCTGACCTCTTGTTGTCTCACCATGGGCAAGTTCCTGCCCCATTCTGGGCCTTGTAAATCTAAGGGTTCTGTACCCACCCCTGCCCTGCCTCCCTCACTGGGGTAGCCCAGCTATGATCCATTTCATGAATTGTATTGCTTTATGAAATCCAACCAAAAACAAAACCCACTGCCATCGAGTCAATCCCAATTCATAGCGGCCACTTAGGCCAGAGTAGAACTGCCTCACAGGGCTTCCAAGGCTGTAAATCTTTAAGAAAGCAGACTGCCTCATCTTTCTCTCACAGAGCAGCTTATTGTTGTTGTTGTTATGTGCCGTCGAGTTGGACCTGACTCATAGCAACCCCTCCTTGGGGTAGATTGCCCCATCTTCCTTCCAAGGAGTGGCTGGTGGGTTTGAACTGCCAGCCTTCTGGTTAGCAGTCAAGTGCTTTAGGCACTACACTACTAGAGCTCTCACAGAGCAGCAGGTGGGTTCAAATTGCCAACCTTTTGGTTAGCAGCCCAGTGCGTTAACCACTATGCCATCATGAAGTCTAGCTGTTAAAAACTGGAGGAAGGACTTCCACGTGGGAACCAAGGCATTTGGGCCTCTCCACTAGTCTGGATGATGGGGTCCAGGGTCCTGGCACTCCACAGGCTACTTCTCCCACCACCCCTTTGCTCCCACTGTCATCCCTCCCGACATACTCTCCCTTCTGTGCTTACCCAAACACTGCCTTTTGCTCTTTACATCCCTGCTGGAGGACCTCTTCTTCCTGGGAGTTTTTGCAATTCCACTCTTCCCCCACAGGTGTTCTTCCAGGATATATATCGCCTACTAGAGGAGTCAGATACCCTGCGCAATCAGAAGCCAATGTAAGTGTTGGCAGGCCTCCTTTAGCTTCTTCAGAATGGTTCCTCTTCATGGATGGGGGGGCGGTGTGTGGAAATACACTGGAGGTTTCCATTACAATTGCATCCCACTAGTGATAGCAGTGGCCTGTTCTCACCAGGTTCTCAGAGATGAGCACACCTCAGTGCAGCAAGGCACAGGGCCCAGCTTCATTTGAAGACAGCATGACCTTCCTGTTAATGTCACCCTGACATCGGGTATTAAATATCTTCTCCAGCTTGCCCTATGATACAAGAGTGATCATATTAGCAAGCACGGTCCCACCTGGGGCTATTCTGCCATGGACCTGGGGGAGCATCCAGATAGGACCTCTACCCAACCCTGGTGGAGTAGCCAGGCTCAGGGCTACCAAATGGAGGATGGCGTGTCCACGGCTGTTACTCTAGCTCCAGGCAGTGCCTGGTGCTCAGTAGGCCCTCAGTGGGGCCTGACAAGTGAACAATTCACTGGCCAGCGAGTAGCTCTCCCTGGTGTGTTTGCTCAGGCCTCATTTTTGAGTGCTGCTTCCACCCGACAACCAGCACCCAGGCTGCCAGCCAAGGGGCCTGGCCTCAGAGAGTAAATCCGCCCAGCAGAATGGATTTCTGTGATGGACTGGCTGGGTATGGTCCAGACTAGCACTCTCCTGCATTGGGGCAAAGGTCCAGAAGCATGAACCATACTCATGTCACACAGTAGGTCAGCAAATATTGCTGTTGTTAGTTGCCATAGAGTTGATTCCAACTCATGGCAACCCCATGCGTGCAGAATAGAACTGCTTCTTACAGTTTTCAAGGTTGTGAGCTTTCAGAAGCAGATCACCAGGTCTGTTTTCTGAGATGCCTCTGGGTGAATTCAAACGGTCAGCCTTTCAGCTAGTAGTTGGGTGCTTAACCTTTTGCACCACAGAGGGACTCCCCATGATCAGCAAATAGCAGGACAGAAGCTGGATATCAGGACCTGGAAGCTCTTTCCACTGGGTCTAGGAACACACGTTAGCAGGTTCTGTTCAGTACCCCTAGGACAACCTTGGGCTAGAGCCAGAGATCTGATTCTCCTCTTCCCTCTCTGGGCATCCCTTCCCGGCTGACAGGACCCCTTGTTGCTCCAATGCTGTTGCCTTTCTGGAAAAAAGGAAATCCCCTAGTCCTTTGGGACTCAGCCCAGTGGCCCAGGATAAAATTCTTCAGGTGGACTATCCCTCTAATGGAAGGAGACTTCTCCTGGGCCACTCCAGTGCAGCTGTCAGTGGAATACTCAAATTCTCCTAGTTTCTGAGGCCTTTTTTTTTTTT